AGAGTTTGAGAAGACTGGAAGGAAGTAAAGTGGACATAAGGAAGTTGTATTTTAAAGGGAACAGAAATGTGGCAGCACGGGGTGGGGGAACTTCATGTTTGTTTTCATAATTAATAGCATATTTGATGTTGATGAGATTGAATTTAGTAAAGAGAGAATAATTAACAGAGGAGGCAATATGAATTTCTGAAGTGTCTTTAAGTTAGAGCAAGGTGGGATCCAAGTACTCTCCTGTTGGAAGCCTTATCTAGGAGCATGAGCAGTTCATCCAGAATAATAAGAGAGACAGTAGAGTAGTGAGTGCATGGGCAGAGATTTCAGGAAGGAGGGTAGATCTGTGTAAAATGTGGAAAAGTTTAGTGCTTACCTATGAGTTTCTGTGAGCATTAAATAAGTCAGTACTTTTAAACCCCCCATTACTAAACATAGTAAGTACAGTACTTAGTGTTGACCACTTACTAATCACTACAGTTACCATTTGTAGATATCATTGTACAACATTTGGTGTATGAAATTGTACAGGTTTATAATATTTGTAAAGTTAAAATGTAATTTACACAGCCAGTTTCCTTTAGTCACTTGAGTGAGTAATATTTTACATACTAGCTTTTCATTCAAGTTAGTTTGTTTGTTTGCTTTTTTTGGTTTTTTGAGACAGGGTCTCACTATGTAGTTGAGACTGACCTGGAACTCACTTTGTAGCCCAGACTGATCCTGAACTCACAGCGATCCTGCTGCCTCAGCCTCCGAGTGCTGGGATTTACAGGGGTGCACCACCACGCCCGCCTCATTCAAGTAAGATGAATCAGTAATTTCTAGTTGGGTTTATCTTTTCCAAGATGCTGGCCACCACAGGTGCTACTCACATAGACTAACAGCCCAGAAAAACTGTCCTTTTAATCTGAAACATGTAATTTTGTGTTAGGGCTTTGAAAATGTCTTGGTTTTCTTCACTATGTGGGTAAATATTGTTTTAGAGAAATTATAACATCATCTAATAAAAATGTAATTCTTTTTATATGTTGATTAGAAGTAGTAGAGAAACCATGCATATTCATTTAAGTGGTAATTGCAGTTTTAGGACCAGTTGTAAAGAGGAGCAGGCAGATCATGTGGGAGTAGCAGAAGAAGAGTTGGAACCAAGAGTTACTTGGGAAATCTACTCAAACTATCATTGCTTTAAGTATATTCCTACTTTGAAGTAAGATGGAGAACATCTAAGTCCATAAGAGTATCAGTATCAGTTTGGGGTAAGATTGGGTTATGGAACAATAAAGAGAAAGAATATGAAGTCTGATGAGAAAACCCACAGCATCTATTTATTAGACAGGATTGATGGATAATCAGATCTTGCTGATTGAGACTCCTAGGTTTTCACGTAAAAAGTATTAGGCTTAGGCAGGAGACTTCCATAAGAAGTCCCAAGATGCCAGGGATTTAGCTCAGTGGTGCTACCGGTATCAAAAAAAAAAAAAAAAAAAAAAAAAAAAAAAAAAAAAAAAAAAAAAAAAAAAAAAAAAAAAAAAAGTTCAGATGGATCTGGGTGTAGTGGCACGTGCCTGTAATCCCAGCATTTAGGAAGCTGAGGCAGGAAAATCACTGTGGATTGGAGGCCAGTTTGGACTACAGTGAATTCAAGGCCAAGCTGAACTACCCTGTCTAAAAACAAAACAACCCAAAAAACAAAATTAGGGTTGTCTAAGGTAGCATTGATTGGTATATAGTTCATTATATTTTTATACTAATATGATTGAAAATTATTGAAACTGATTTTTCATTTGGAAAATTTGTTTTCATCAGTATCACTGTGAAAAAATTTTTCTGAGAAAAGGTCTTGCTATGTAGTTCAGGATGGCCTTGAACTCACTACATAGGTACCCCTTGATGGCCTCAAACTCTCCTCAGTCTTCCTGCCTTGGGCCCACAAGTGTTGAGATTATAGGTGTTCACCACCACACCTGTCTAATTTCCTCCATATTATTTTAATTCTTTTTTGGTCCCTAATTTGATGTAATTAATTGAATTTAATAGTTTATCTGTTTATTTTCTCCCCTCCCCATCAAAATTCAGCTCCTAGATTTTAGAATTATTTCTATTGGCTTCTAGACTTCTGTTTTCTAATTGAGTAGCTTAAAAATTTTTTTTTTTTTTGTACTGGGGTTCTAACTGGGGCCCTTGTGCTTGTGAGGCAGGCTGTAGAACCACTGCCTAATCTCCGACTGTTGTTTTTGGTTTTTGAGACAGGATCTTGCTATGTAGTCAGCATCCCTGCCTCAGCCTCCGGAGTACTGGGATTATAGGTGTGTGTACCACCATGCCCAGCTACCTCAATGTAGTTTTAAAGTTTATTTTGATTGGTTCCTTTTTTTTTTTATTTTTGGTGCTGGGGATTGGACTTGGGACCTTATTGATTGGTTCATTTTTGTTTTCTAAAATTGAGTTGAATGCTTATTACATTTAATTTTGATTCTCTGTTCAAAGAATTTATGTTTTGGATCTAACTTTAGATAGTTTTTATAATTGTTATTTTCTATATATTTGTATTGATTTGATTGCCATCTTTGGTAGAGATTCTACAGAAATTATCAAGTCTACTGCATTTAAAGGTGTTGTTTAAATTGCTTCATTGTCAGTTTTTAGTCTAAGCTATTTTTTCCTTCCTTGAATATTTTAAGGTGTTAACTTGGCTAAATAAGTTGACCAAGTGTTGATCTCATCTCATCATTAGGACCTTGCACTTGCAAGGCAGGTGGTGGCACCACTGAGCTAAATCCTGAGCCATTCAGTGGGTTTTAAAAGGGTGTTACTATTGTCTAGTGTACTTTTTTGGGGGAGGGGATATTGGGGGGTTGAACTCAGGTCCTTGTGTTTTCAAGGCAGTCGCTGGAACCGTAGAGCTAAATCTTCAGCCCTGCCTAGTGTACTTCAGTTTAACCTTTTGCCTTTAACTTCTAAGTCTGTATTTTAGGTTTGTTTCATGTATACCACATGTGTTTGGATCAAGCTTAGTCTTTTGGACCCAGTTTGAGATGGTTTTAATCATTTACATTGTGTATTTGGTTTTGCTTTTGTAAATATTAGTTTACTTGTTGCATGGTTTTTTTGCTTGGTCTTTTTTGGGGGGGAAGTTATGTGCTTTATTTCTAGATGTCTTTGATTAATATATAATTCATTAATTTGTATACCACTAATATGGTTAAATACTGCCAAAAACTATGACACTTATCAATTATAATATGCATGCTGATTTCAGATTTACTACAATGTGGAAAAACTACATCTTAGATGAAATATGGTAGTTTGTAGTTCTTGGTTATTATAAAATTTATAGATATATATATTTAAATCTATTAAATTATCAAATAAATTTCTTAGGAGTAGTTATTTGAATCTTCTCCTTTCTTATGTTTGAAAATGTCTTCTTGTCTTTCAAAAAGACATGATACTTTTGCTGGTTACAGAATTTTGAGCTACTACTAGTTCTCTATCTTCTAGGTATCTGGGGTCACTGTAAATAAATCTGGGTCCAGCTTGACTGTTTTTATCCTTTTGTAGGTAATCTACTTCTTCCTGGGTTGTGGTAGAATTCTTTCTTTATCCTGGAAGTTCAGTAACTTCATCAGGATATATATTGGTCTTGGTGTGGTTCTTTGTTACATTTTCCTGTTACATTGGATGCCGTTGCAGACTGCAGATTCAGGAACAGTTTATGTCTTTTAAAATGCATTATTTTTCACTTCTTAAACATTAGCTTTATGATTGGTGATCTTCATTTCCTGTTTTATTGTTTTTCTAAATTCTTCTTTGTTCTTCTCTGCTATATACTCTAGCATTTCTTCAACTATCTGATTATGTAAATTTATTCTAATCAGTATTGGTCTATTTTATCTATCCTATATAAAATGTGATTTTCATTCTGTCAGTCAGTGGTTTTAGTACTTTACTGTTATGTTTCTTTATGCTTGTGAGCTGCCCTTGTTTTGTTTATTTGAGACAGGGTCTCACTGTGTAGTTGTGACTGACCTGGAACTCATTATGTAGCCCAGGCTGGTCTCGAATTTAGAGATCTTTCTGCCTCAGCCTCCTGAGTGCTGGAATGAAAGGCATGTGCCATGACACCCAGCCCAGCTGCCCTTGCAATTTACCACCTTTGCTCTTTTTCTAAAATAACCTTTGCTTCTTTCTGTCAAAACAGGTAAATCCACATTGTTTTTAAGAAGGGTTAAAAATGTTGCAAAGCATCTGGGCAAGGTGGGGCATGCCTTTAATTGTAGCACTGAGGCTGAGGCAGGAGAATTACAGCAAGTTTGAGGCCAGGCTGGGCTATATAGTGAATTCAAGGCCAGCCTGAATTACAGTGTGACACTCTGTCTCAAAACGAGCAATTGCAAAGTAGTTAATAACAAATTTAATCTTAAGGATCGTGAAACAAATGATTAGTAAAATGGTTTACCAAGTTGTACTGTTGCAGAAAAAGAAAACCTAAACAAAAAGTTTTACTGCTAGGTGGTTATGCTTTATTAATGGCACGAGATCTGGAGAAGCCATTATTTACTTGCAGGCTTAAAGATTGTGTGTGTGTGTGCACGCGCATGTATTTTTTGCCAGTGTATAAACTTCTGTACATAGTAGAGATCTTTTTTTGTGGGGAGGGTGCCGGGGATGAAACTAGAACCAAGTAGAACCACTGAGCCAAATCCCCAGCCCTCTAGAAATCTGTTTTTGCTGTGTGTGTTTATAAGTGCTTGATGACTTTTTCCCTATTGTTGAAAAATCTATTGAGTCTTTTATTTATCAAGTCATATGAATAGAAAAAGTATTGAAACTGTAAATGACAGAATATCTGTTATCCATCTGTATTACATAAAAATATCTGCCATGTTATTTTTTTTTTCTGAATGCTGTTTTTTTGTTTGTTTGTTTTGAAGAAATGAAAGCAATCAGTGATGTTACCCATGATCTGATCGAGGAAATAGTGAACATTGTGACTATGTGCAAATTGTGGTTACTACGACCAAGACTTACATTGTGACTTATGAAAAGTATGTGTCTTACAGTATCTTATTAGGGAACAGGTTCTCCCATCATCTTTTCTTAGTTAAAATGATAGCTGAGATATAAACATTCTTTGCTACTGTTGATTAATAGTGGTTATTTCATTACTGTAGTTTTTTTTTTTTTTTAATCCTGGGGATCGAACTCGGGCCCTTGCACTTGAAGGCAGGAGGTGGAACCACTGAGCCATCCGTACTGTAGTCTTGAGTGTACAGAAGAGGCCAGCAATTTATTCAGTATTGTGAATATGTAGAACTTATTGTTCCAGAGTCTTATTCTTCTCATCAGTTAAACTCTATCAGAATTCTTAAGGATTCTAAACTGTTGTGCTTGATAGGTAGTAAGTAGCTTCTTCCTTATATATGTATCCATGTATGTGTGTGTGTGTGTGTGTGTGTGTGTGTGTGTTTGTGTGT